CCCTCCTCCCACCCACCTGTGGTTTGTTGGTGGTATTTTCCTTCCAGAACAGCGGGTGCATCAAGTTGTTCCTGAGGTTGACGTGTTGTAACTTCTCCATGCTCAAGCAGCTGGCGGGCAGGGCCGGGATCTGATTACCCTCCAGGTCCAGAAGAGTCAGAGACCTGGAAACAGTTGTTCGTAAAATTTTAAGTTTTAGTTTTAGAAGAGGTTTTACGGTGCTCGCAACTGCATAAGGTCATATGAGCACCAGAAGATTACAGGTGTTACAAGAGAGAAACAAACATAAAAAAAAGAAGGGGAGATAAAAACAATAGATGTTTGATAGGAAAGAAGGAGCAAGCCACACCGGAGTACCCCCCAACTGCCCACTAAAATTTTAAACATGGATCATTAAGTGAAAGATTGCGACATACGTCACTTTCCAAAATGGCATGAGGCAAAGTCCTACACTGAGCAATGACATCAGAGCTTCACTTCTCCCTCCGAGACCTAACATTGACAACACACTCTACCGAACATTACAGCAACTGCAGCAAACCTGCTCTCATCACTACATGGCATTGGACAGAATGGCAAAAGCCCAGCTGTTGCTGGATCGATAACAACAACAACAACAACAACAACAGCACGCAATCAATATAAAATCTAGCACGCACATAGAGAAATCAGCGGAAAACAAAAATCATTTTGTTGTGTACGAATATACACACCAATTAAACCAAATTTCTCCTATAGGTAGGGCAAAGCCCATTTTTAGTATGGGTCAAGATTTCTGGAAACCCCCGAAATCTGGGTTAGCCCGCTTAAAATTGTCCTTAAAAACGACCTATTTTGTCCACACAAACGTACTTGAGCTTGCTGATCTCCCTGGGCAGAAAGGTGAGTCTGTTGTATGCTACACTCAGTTCTTCCAGACACGGCAACTCGAACAAACTGTGGGAGACATAGGAAGGAAATTGTTCTAGTAGAAGTTATACAGCGCTCGCAACTGCATAAGGTCATATGACTATGAGCACCAGAAGATTGAGTAACAAACATAAAAAAGGAGGGGAGATAAAGACGATAGATGTTTGATAGGAGAGAAGAAGCAAACCACACCAGAGCTACATAAGGTCATATGAGCGCCAGAAGATTAGAGGTGTTACGAGAGAGTAACAAACATTAAAAAAAGAAGAAGGGGAGATAAGGACGATAGATGTTTGATAGGAGAGAAGAAGCAAACCACACCAGAGCACCCGCCAACCACCCATGACATATGAAGAGTAAAGGGTTATTGGTTTATGGAAAAAACAACTTTGTTTGTTTTTATTCTTAAGTGTGTGTGTGTGTGTGTGTGTGTGTTGTTTCTGGAAACATAACAATTTTATTACTACATTGACACATTTTCTATGTAACCTACAAATACCTGGTACCAAATAGGGACAAGGGACAACATTTCTTTTTTACAGTAAAGGGTTATATCTAAAGACTTGAGAAAGGTATGAATATGCCATGCACAAGGGAGAGCAGTAGGGAGGGACGGGCGATGAGAAATGAGAAAGGGAGGGAGAGATAAAGTACAGTGGAAACCATCTATAACAGGCCCAGTAATAACAGGGATCCAGTAATAACAGGGATTTTTTTAAATCCCCGTTTTTCCTACTCTTTGTCTCTATTAAAAGTTACTGGCAATAACAGTAAAAGGACCTCATCCGAGCCCAATCGGTTATAGCAGGGATAAAGGCTTGATAACAATGTGTAAAAAGTGAGAGAGAGAGAGATAGAGAGAGAGAGAGATAGAGAGAAATAGATAGAGAGAGATAGATAGAGAGAGAGAGACAGAGAGAGAGATAGAGAGAGAGAGAAAGAGAGAGAGAGAAAGAGAGAGAGAGAAAGGAAAGAGAGAGAGAGAGATAGAGAGAGAGAGAGAGAGAGTAACACAGTGATAGGGCAAGCCCACACAAGCCATGCCACTGCATCTGCAAGCACACGCAGCGGGTGAAGCGAGAGAGGGCTGCGGAGTGCTGCAGACTTCGATCTAGCCCTAAGCCTAGCTACACGCACACGCAATGTGTCATGCGCAGGCCTGCCAATGGCCAAAACCCCTGTTCGTGGGTACTTGTGGCAAAGGAAACTACCCATGAATAAATACAGCTGGATTAGTCCACAAATGCTTACTTCCTTTGTATTTCTGATTTAACAGGGATCTGATACAACAAGACTTTTTCTCTGGTCCCATCATCCCTGTTATATCAGGTTTCCACTGTATTTGTCAAAACAAAAACACACACATGTAATTTTATCATTATTGCTTTATTTCCTCACTTCGGGCAATTTGGGCTTGAGACAATTCTGCTATAAAAGTCCATAGGATTATATTAGTTTGGCGTTTTTAAAAGTGAACATAAGACGCATAGTTGGAATCTGAAGTGAAATAAAAAGTGTTGAGTGCTGCGACATTACGTGACTTACGTGACGGGGAGAGCTGTGATCATACAAAAGGACGCCGTGAGGACTCGGAGCTTGGACAGGCGGGTCACGTTGATGGGAAGCTCCACTATCGGGTTGTTACGCAGCTTCAGGACCTCCAGATTGCTGAGGTTCAAAACCTCGGCTGGGAAATTCTAGAGACAGGAAAAATCATCAATTTAGTTTTAGTACGGTGCTCGCAACTGCATAAGGTCATATGAGCGCCAGAAGATTAGAGGTGTTACAAGAGAGTAACAAACATAAAAAAGAAGAAGGGGAGATAAGGACGATAGATGTTTGATAGAAAAGAAGGAGCAAACCAAACCAGAGCCCCCGCCAACCACCCACTTTATTTGTTGGAGTAAAGAGAAGTACATAATTGACATCAAACACAATAACAGACATTTAGAGCTGGGATTGAGAAAGAAAAACATGCAGAAACCACAGAGGGAAGGAAAAGACGTAGGACCTACCAGTGGCACCCTTCAACCACTCACACATTTGACAAAGTCTATCTCAGTTGATTCTATGAGGAGGGAAAAAAAGACAATCTTCACAAGTTTACATGTGACCTTGTTTTTCTTGAAACGGAAACTACTCATTTGTTCTGCTGAGAGTATGTGAAAAAAACCTTTAAAAACCTATTCAAAGTCTAGGGTACCGTAGTATTGCTGCTAAACAGTAAAACATGTCTTCAATAAAGACTCCGCCGAGGGTACGAAGATACGATTCAGTCTCCGTGAGTTACCTGGAAACAGTTGAAGCACAGGTTGAGGTAGATTAGAGTCTTCGTCAAGGGTGTGATGTCTGGAAGCTCCTCGATGAAATGTGCCTGACAAACAATGATGCAGCCACATTAGCTTGTTTACTTAATTACACAAAAGATAAACTCTCTCAATTTCTCTCACTTTCATAAAATAACAAACACGCAGACATGTAAGATAAACTCAATCCATTTCCCTCAGATTAATTAAATAACAAACACATAGACACTCAAGATAAACTTGTTTCCTTTTGCTTCATTTCGTAATTCAAATTACACATATGTGAGGCAGCGTGGCGAAATCAGGCACTCGTCAAAATAATGATATTGAAGAAAGTGGCATTTTTCTGCAAGTTTGGTAATTTTTATAGAATTTTTGTTTTTTGGCTCAACACCTTTCATGCCCATTAAAGAAAAAATTTATGTGTGGATTTTACTGAAAAACATAGACTAAAGGCATAAAAGATGTAAATCTTCAGTTTCCATGGACTCTCAAGCTAAGGAAATAACGCAACTTTGGCTGCCATTTTCTTGCTTATTTTACCTCTGAAACAAGATGACCCCCACCTCCTTCAGTCGCCAATATCTTGACTTATACAAGAGATAAAAGGACATTTTTTCTAACAAAAGCAAGGCAAATGGACAGACTTTATGATGATACCAATAACTCTATACGAGTGCCTGATTCCACCGCGTCGTGACACATATACTTACCTAATCCTCATTCATTTCCTTTCAGTTTCATAAAACAACAAGCACACATACACAAAGTTTAACGCGCACACACTCAGGCACAAAAGGGGCACACCACACCATGTAATAAGTCTATGCAGTTGGTGTGGTAGTAAAACATTTATATTGTCATCGGCACAATTTAGATCATTGCCAGGGGCAATTAAGACTGAGTGGGGTACAATCTCCTTTTTTATGTTTGTTTTAGTAGAGGTTTTACGGCGCTCGCAACTGCATAAGGTCGTATGAGCGCCAGAAGATTAGAGGTGTTACAAGAGAGTAACAAACATAAAAAAGAAGAAGGCGAGATAAGGACGATAAATGTTTGATAAGAAAGAAGAAGCAAACCACACCAGAGCACCCGCCAACCACCCACGTACAACCTCCTACGAGACAGAGGGAAATACTTGCCAAAAAATAACTTCCCCACTCAGAGATCGAGCCCATGTATTTTGTGTGCAGCAGCAAAAAGCTTCTAACCATAAAACCACAGATGCCAGAGATATCTAGTTTGGGCCTGTGGTTATTTGCTGAACTTTTCATAGGAATGTTTCTCCTTTTTACTAACTTTCTCTCGATGAAGTCAGTTTGAATAGATATAAGGAAATGAAATAAGAATGAACTGACAGTTTTAGTTTTAGCTATAGTTTTACGGCACTTGCAACACAATAGGGTCATATAAGTGCCGAAGATTGGAGGTGTTACAAGAGAGTAACAAACTCTAAAAGAAGAAGGGGAGAAAAGGACGATAGATGTCTGATAGGAAAGAAGAAGTAAACCACACCAGAGCACCCGCCAACCACCCACAATAAACTGACCAAAATAAAATACAGCAGAATAACAAATAAGGATTAGAAGACACTTAATGGTGACAAATGAAACCAGAACGCACAGAGTTTTATAACCTTCTAAAAAGTTCTGATACAGATAACCCAGAGAAGAAGAGAATTTGTCACTTACTTCGAATGTGTGTGTGCATGTGTGTGTGTGAGTGTATATGTCTCTCTCTTTCTCTCTTCTGGCACTGTGGCTTCATAAACGGTCAGCGATGCAAACAGCACATAGGAACTTAACACTTGCCTGGGGGTACTTAAAAAGTGCTGAAAGTGGGTTACTGAAATGTCCCAGCAGACGGGTGTGTGTGTATGTGTGGGTGTGCGTGTGTGTGTGTGTGTGTGTGTGTGAGTGGGTGTGTGTGTGAGTGTGAGTGTGTAGGGAGAGAGAGAGAGGGAGAGAGAGAGAGAGAGAGAGAGAGAGAGAGACAGAGACAGAGACAGAGACAGAAAGAGAGAGAGACAAAGAGACAAAGAGAGAACAATTGCTGCCTGTATTTAGCCCTTACCTTGAGACTAAGAGCCGTTCCTCCAGCGATGAGAGAATCCAGAATGGCCAGCTCAGACGGGGATATGGCACCGTCCTCAGGGACAGCTGTACCCACAGAAGGAGAGGAGGGGGGAGGTTAAGAATTAGTTTTAGTAGAGGTTTTATGGCGCTCGCAACTGCAAAAGGTCATATGAGCGCCAAGGGGTGGATTTCAACAGAGAAGCCCTTACAGGGAATCAGACTTACTCTGCTCACCTCTCTAGCTTCAACAATACAAGGTCTGCTTTGACTATCAAGGCACCCCGGAAATAGCGGGTCACAAGAGTGTGACATACATTCAAAAGAAGTAGAGGAAAATAACGATAGTAAGGATTAGGAAAGAAAAAGCAGCAGTTCCCTGTTGTAGTTCAGGCACAGTTATGAGCATGACATTGTTGGATCAGCCCATTAACAATTCTACTGTGCATCAGAACGAGAAATATCCCCCCTTTGGGAATGACCTAAAGACACTGTAGTCAGTGGCACTTTCCCGGGGGTGAGGAGGGGAGGGAGAAGTCATTTGTGATGTCATGAGTCAAGAGAAGCATATTATCAACACTATAACGTTTTTATAATGGTCACAAACATTTTAAAAAAATACAATTTTTATAATTGTCATAAACATTTAAAAAAAATATAATTTTTATAATGGTCATAAACATTCTTAAAAAAATATTTTTTTTCTAAATTCTTGCAGCAACAATAAGCAAGAAACACAGACAAAAAATAGAGAAAGAAAAGAAATAAATAAACTGACGAGTTAGCATGATATAAGATTATTCTTTTGATTCTACGGGCATTTTATTGTTCCATGTATATATTGAGCCTGTATAAGGTGAAAAACGAGTCTGACTAGGGAATGCGATTAAAAACTTGATTTTATATGAAAATTCAACTTGCCTAAAGTTGATCAATTGGAACAAGTTGTATATCTAGATCTTTTCTACCCCCTCACCCAAACCAGAACTCCCGTACAAGGTGGAAACCTGACTAAGGAAGAATCAATAATAGCTATAACTCTGTAAAAAAAGATATGTAAGAGTGTGTGTGTGTGTGTGTGAGTGCATGTGTGTGAGTGTGTGTGTGTGTGTGTGTGTGTGTGTGTGTGTGTGTGTGTGTGTGTGTGCACGTGTGTGTGTGTGTATGTGTATGAGTGAGTGTGTGTGTGTATGTGCGTGTGTGTGCATGTGTGTGTATGAGTGTGTATGAGTGTGTGTGTGTGGAAGTATGAGTGTGTGTGTGGGTGTGTGTGTGTGAGTGTGAGAGTGTGTGAGTGAGTGTGTTTATGTGTGCACACCTATTGTGTGCATGAGAGTGTTCATTCTTAAGGACCCACCAAAAGGAGATCTACTTCTGCCAGAGCCCTGGAAGTACCGCGAGCGAGCAGAATGCAGGACAGCGTCCACTCCGGGAAGCTCGGTCTCTCTGAAAAACAAGAAACAAATCATCAGATGTTGGTAAAAAAAAACCCCAACATTTCTCTCTCGTCCTAATAAAATGATTCGATCAGCGTGCAGATAATTCTGGTAGTCTACTGCATAAGACAGAAGAAAAATAAAAATAAAAATGTATGCCTAAAGGGCATGAGTCATTCACACCTCCAATCATCCATTTTTCATTACATGAACTGTCCCCATCGTTTTACGCAAGAAAAATTCTGAAATTAGGCAAACTGAGCCCAAAAAATGTGAAATTATGCGATTCTGTTTTTAAAAAAACAAAGAATGATAAAGGAAAATAATCAGAAATTATGCAAGAAATGATAAAATTTGGCTAAATTATGCGGGGCGCATAAAATCACGGGGACAGCATGAAAATATAACTTAACAAACTTTTTTTAATACAAAGAAAATATAAGTAAAATAAACCCATTGCTTACAACAGTATTGACATTCATTTACCATTCAGTGGCAAAAACCCCTCTGTTGCAAATACAAGTAAGAGCTTTTTCTTAAATAAGATCTTGTACCAAGAGTTCTTTCTAAACTGAGTCTTGAAACTTCATACAGTATTTCCCCAAGTTCAGAGCTAAAAAAAACACGATTTTCAAACAGACAAAGAGTGGGTCCCTTCAAATAAAAGGGGATATTTGTAAAAATAAAATTTGCCACTCTTGCATAAAGTCTTGTTCTCTGAATTCAGGAAAAGAGCATATAGTCATAGATCCTGGTTGTCTCAAACAAATAGACATAAAAGAAATCTTTTTTATAACACACACCTACACATACACACTCACACACACACACATACACATACACAAATATAAGCAGACACACCCATAAACACACATACACACATCGAATGAGATATTCTTTAACAGAGTAATTGATTTTTAAATGTTTTTTTGCACACAAAAGTTAGCCAACAGTAATTGTATACTATTTATGGCACGCATTTACTCCAGATTTCTGAGGATGTTGAAGACCCATAGATCAACCCCAGCAATGGTTTTTAGATAAGGAGTTGATTTATTACTTTCAATTACATGGTCAGATGAGTGATATATGATAATGAAATAATAACTGCAGTATACAGCGCATATCCATGCTCTGCAGCACATATGTATCTAAAAAGAGAGCTAGAGTATGTATGTTATATAACTCCAAAGGTCTGGTAATTAAATTCCTGCAAGTGGTTGAATGATGCATCTGATGTGATATGTACATTTAGTCAGCTTTACTCCTCTTTTCATATTGAAATTTAATGAGAGTAATATATAATAAAAATTTTTATGCATACCTGCATGTGTTTTTACGGTCCTGTACAGCCAAGAAAATTTTCCCTCTGGGATAATGAAGTATTATCTTACCTTATCTTATCTTATTATACTCCCTCCTACATAAACCCCACTCACTGTTTGATCCGTGTCGCAGCGCTAGTCCTCTCGGTGCTGTCGTCCTCGTAGAGAATAATCTCTGTGTGCGGCTGCGAGTGGCCGGTGTAGGCGGGGCTGTACTTGGGCATCGGTTTGATCACAGACTTGACCTCTGTGCCCATCATCTCTCGCACGTGCTGTTTGATCATGGCCGCCATTTCGTACAGCAACTGGCGCTGCGGCACTCGGTTCTCCTTCAGGGGAATCTTTGAGGCTGTGACACAACAAAAACAAAAAAATACTATCGGACAGAACTTCTAATGGTTTGTTTGTTTGTTTGTTTAGAGAAAAAATAAACACATTGACACATTTATGGTCATTTATAGGGCAGGGAAAAAGTTTTTCTTTTAGTAGAGGTTTTACGACGCTCGCAACCGCATAAGGTCATATGAGTGCTAGAAGATTAGGGGAGTTATAAAAAAGAAGAAGGGGCGATAAGGACGATAGATGTTTCATAGGAAAGAAGAAGCAAACCACACCAGAGCACCCGCCGAAAAGTAGGACAAGACAGAAACAACAGAGGGAAAGAAGAGAGGAAAGGCGCGTGGCATCCTTCAACCACTTGCACTTTCAACAGATTGGTGATTTTGTTTCAATGCCTAATCACCCC